GGGGGGGTGGGAGAGCCGCGGCCTCACAAAGTGCCCCCCCCCCGACGGTGTCCCCTGGCCTTCGGTCATGGCCGGTCGGGGCCTGGGCTGGCGGAGGCCGCCCTGGGAGTCGCGTCTTCCGGAACCCTCCCGAAGAGAGGTTAAAGAGGTTTCGGTGTTTCTGGTACTGTGCAAAACTCCAGCAGCGTGGCTTTTCCTTGCTTGCTGTGAGCAGCTATTTCCACCCTTCACTCAACAGGGGAAACCCAAAGAGGGTTTCCACGTTGAGAAAAATACAATTTATTGTACTTGTCAGTTGGGAAAATGCAGATTGCAGCTGTCTCTTGCAGATAATGCACACTATAAAAATACATATACACTATTAAAATACATATATAATGCTTGTATGTAGTAAGGGAACATTTCAGAAGTGCATCTGTGAAGGGGAAAACATTCTGGACTGGCTCTTCGGATGAAAGCAGGGATACAAAGAGCTTCTAAACTGGTTAGTGTAATTGCTTCTGCTGCTGCTGAGCCAGTGGTGACCTGCGGAAGCTGTGGACCTGCGGTGTTTTGAAAGGCAGTCAGTGCCACTGCGCGCAAAACCACCACACTGCCCTGTATATGGCGTTACAGCCCAGCTTTTGTGTGTTTTGCCCCTTTGCAATGTGGGAGGGGGTAGTTGTTAAATGTTCAAATGGGTTTTCTGCCTCCATCAAGAAAGCATCATGACTGGGAGGACGCTTTGATTTCCCAGAAGAATATGGTCTTCTGTTGCACTGTGTCTCATCTCTTCCAGCTGCTGTGGACTTCTGAGGGCTTAATCAGGCTGCCGAACCTGACTTGTTGACACGGATCAAAACAATAAAAGAAAATCTCACTCTTTGAACTGAAAACTCCTTCCTGACCGGCAGCAAGGGCAGGCTGTAGACAGCAACCTCTCTTGCTGTCTTAGAGGGTACTTAGTGTTTGCAGCATGCAGCCTCATGAGCCTAGAAACTACGTACATCAAAACAACAGCTGAAGCCGCCCACGGTGCCCCAATACAAGAGCAAGAGCATGTTGTTAAGAATCAGTTTGAAGTCCAGGGTCTAAAAGATGATTTATTTATGAAGGGAAGCTTAATGAGAAATGCAAGTCCTTCAGAAGGAAGCTCTCTGAAGAGAACACGCTGACATCCTGACCCTGGTAGCTGAGAGGAGCTTTACATCTGCTAAGCCCTAGAAATAATGGGGCAGACCCTGATCTCTGCACCTGAGGAAGCCTCTGTGGCCCAGTTTATTGTGGCCAAGGAGGATACAGAGAAGACAAAGCCACACACTTCCCGGAGCTTTTGCAAAGCCAAGGACAACAGGCAATAGTCACAAGGTGTAGGATGGAAATTCTCATTAGATAAAAGGAAAGAAAAAAAAAGCTGTGAGGGTTGGTAAGTGCTGAGATGGTGGCTTGCGCCTTACTCCAACTTGACTGCGCTGGCATTGCAGTGCTGTGATCCTGAGAAAAACTGCAACATTTTGAAACATTTTCCTTTGTAATTCTTTGGGATTCTTAGAATTAGATTGTTAGATCAAAAGAAATAATTTTCTTCATCTTAAACACTTACTTTGAAATGCAATTAGCATAAAAACAAAAATCCCTCCATCCTCTTTAACATGCATAACCTCACTATTGACAACTCTTAACTGTGAGTTAACCATGAGCTGCAGCATTATAATGTATTTATGATAAAGTGACTCCAGTCCCTCATTAGCTGGGCCCTGCAAAACATGCAGGAAACACTGCTTAACTGCACAAAAGTTGCCAGACATGAGCCTGTAAAGTAAATAAATAACATAGGAGGTCAGCGCTCTGTCCTGCCGTGCCAGGGCTGCTCCATACAGTAGGTTAGGGGCCTGTGAATCCCCCACGGTCCCGTTGCAGAGCGTGGTAGGGGCTCCTGCTCAGAGCACCTTGGCAGTGCTGTCCCAGGGGGTAGCGAGCACTAGGGCCGGCAGCTCTGCCTAATTTCTAAGGTGGCAGCTCCACCGTGTGGGCGCTGCTGACAACTGTTGTCATGAAGGGTTGGAAATGGTGGGGGTTTCTCCTATTTTCTTGCCTAATTTACAGAATAAAACAATACAAAAAAAGCTTTTCCCAAACCTAGGAGAACACCTACATAACATGAACCATTTGGTTTTGCCCAAAGGGACTGCTCAGAGCCTTGTGCATAACAGGGCACCAGGCTGGTTTACAGAAATGCCAGGATTTCATCTCTTCTGGGTTTGTGGGTCTCTTTCTACTGCTACAACTGCAAGGGAAAAGATCAGGCACTGAATTTCTCACTTCCCATCAGCTCCTCCTGCTATTAGAAAGAAAAACGAGAAGCAGAACTGGGCTGGGGTTAAAGAAAAAAAAAAGATACAACCTAAATCTTCAGGTAGTCCTGGTTGTCCTGTTTTTGTACTGCTGTGTGTGCATTATGTGTACATATGTAGCCCAGTATGTCATTTAAGTAGGAGCCTATGTATACATGTACTGCCTGACTCTGTCCTCTGTGCACAGCAATTCCGACATGTTCGGGATCAGCTGGATTCTGTGTACACGAGATGGGGAATTAATCTATGGGTGCTCTAAAGTCACGTCTGTCTCAACGTTAGAAAGCCAGGTGATTGCATCTCCTTAGGGAAAAGGTGATGAATTATTGTTGAAAATGGTAGTCTCAAATCCAGTCTAATAAGGCTGGCTCACCTGATAAAAAGAAAAAAAGAAAAGAAAAGAAAAGAAAGAAAAGAAAACCCAGGAAGCCATTTGCTGTCGACAGTGGGTCTAATTAATCATCACATCACAAATATGAACTGCAGCTGTACCCTGAAAACTGGGTTCCATTCTTACTGTTTACCAATGCTACTGGTATGGAAAGGGCTGTCTGCAAACACAGACGTTTCCCGTCCTTAAACAGGCAACCGTGTAAGCTCAGCCCAGGCTCTGCAGGTCAAGCTCTCTTCTGCTTGTCTTTCATCATGTGTAATAAGGAGTCCGCAAGCAAATCACACATTGCATGGCTAGTTACTGCTTGGCACTCGATGTATTTCTCTGTACTTGGTCTGAATTTCCTGTTTCTGGCTGTTTTTCTGCTACTGGCAGCATGATTAGAACTGGACTAACGTATTACTCAATTCCTGTCCCTGAAGCTGTGTTTTCTGTTTTTGGGGAAATCTCCAATAGGTAAATGTGGGGATTATATTCCCACATATTCCATTATGTTCCCGCTATAGCCCTCTCCTGCCTGCCATTCTGCAGGACCTGCCCCTAGGCTCTTCCCCACTTGTGCCGGATGCTCCAGGACCTCTGCAGAGGCTTCTACGTGGTGCAGGTGAGAAGGAGATGTTGGGTCCACGGAGGCTGAGCAAGGGATAGTCATACATAAGGGTTGTTTTTCATGTGCTTGGGTGGGTGTATGCTGTTACCACATTAAGTGTCTTTCCTTCAAATTTTCCCAAATTTAGATTTGTCAGAAATTTACTCAGACAAAAGAATACTGATTAAACAGCCACAGCTCCATGGTAGATACAGTGCTGAACCCATCTCATTGCCTCTTGCCTTCTCCATGGATTTCCCCTCCTAAGTGAAGAGAGAGGTCTCAGGTGCATCTGTTCTCACCTGCTACTAATACATGGCTCAGCGCTGATCCCCCGCAAGGCCCGCTTGGTGTTTGCACCCATAGGCCGTGCAAGGGCACATATTTGCAACCTGAGTAACCAGCAACTCGGTGCCAAGCGAGGGGTCTGAGGCTCTGCAGGTGCAAAGTTTGGGCCTCGGCTTGGCTGGTCCTTCTTAATTTATGAGACAATTTGAAGTCTTTTGACGCCAGGAGGGATGGCCACACGCTACTGCACTGCACAGATCTTGTGTCTGTGCGAGCTGAAGCACTTGGGCTGAGGCCTTGGCGAGTGCAGCTGTAGCCGTGCAGGGACGGGGTCCACATCTCATGAGCCATGGCAGAGTGCAGGGTGGGAGGCACGCAGCAACTTGCCCTCATTATGCATGGGTCTAACATGGCCAATTACCCCATCCTTTCCTCACCTCCTCGATGTAAAAGACTCTTGTTGAGAGTGGTCATAATTCACGTTGAACACCCCCATCTCCTTACACCCTTCACACCCG